GACATCTTGACAGGTTTTAACAAGCAGGGGGTTCTTGACCCTTTGAACTGTGTAGCCAGAAACTCATTGTTTGTGACAACAGCCTGGGGGGAGGTCTGTGACCCAGGATGATCACTGTGTTTTGTTACATCTGCTCAACTCAATTCCTTCTGCTGGAAATAGGTTGTTATTTCAAAAAGACAACACAACACCACCAGTCAGGCTACCTGTTTCATCTGCTAACATTTAGAGTTTTAAAATAAAACATTTGAAAACTTAAAGTAAATTTAAGTAAATGTACAGTTTAGTTAACTTGTGTAGTTCATGAATCAACAGTGAGCTTTAGACTTAAGTCTAGTTGTCGATGAGTCCCTGAAAAAAGACACAGGAAGTTTTAAACCTAAGGTACACAGTCCCCTGAGATTCACACGTACACACACACACACACACAAACACACACACACTGGTACACTCGCAAATACAGTTAGCAGCTGTTTCTGTGAAAGTTGCTGGAGAGAAACTCAATGGAAAAAGGAGTGAAGCCAGCTGGGTGGGGAACAGTGGGAGGATTTTTCCACCTCTGTCTGTCTGATGGAGACATGTAGGTTTTACTCTGTGAGCAATTCATCATGAAGTGTGCAGACTGCTGCACGCAGCAACTATTTGCAAAGTAGTATGGATTACAGTCTTATAAACCAATAGAAAAATTGGTAAAGTAGTTGTTTGGCAGTGACACTAACAAAACCCAGCCATCTGTAACCACTTCTTTAAGGTTTTTAATTAAATGAAAAATTAAATGAAATATTCATGCTTAAAATGTCCTAAACCACTTCTTGTGGGCCACATGATGATAGAGTGATTAGGGCTCTTAATGTAATGGTATGGAGTTTCCACATTCTCCACTCTGTATGCATGTGTTTTCAAGTTGTCTGCGGTCCTACATTAACATGGTGCAAATACATGCAGGATTAGATTAATTGACCATGATACAGTACCCATACATATTTCTTCTGTTTCCCCTGTGAAGCTCAGCCCTCCCGTGTTGCTGTACACCTCAAACAACATTGCTGAAATTACTTGTTAATATTGAAAACATCATCAATATAAATTGGTACATTTGCAATGAAATTGCTTTCCACAGCAGCAGTCCAGTAGCACTTGAGTTGCATTAATTTTTGCTCAAAAATATCCTGGTCACCTGCCAAAAAGGACAAAAAGCAGGTACTGCAGAAGTACACAGTGGTGTAATATTCCAACAACCCATTACAAATCGTTCTTTATGTGATTTTTGTAGTTGATTGTGGCAACTACTTTGGCTCGTAAGGTTACGTTAACTTCTTTTTTTTTGTTAACTGGAAGTCCAATTTGGATTAGAATGGATTTCTTAAAACACGCTCTAGGGAAGAAGTGGTTAGTTGTGGGTAGTGGTCCCTAGACATTACAAAGTACTTATAAACCTTTTGAGATACAGAACATCTGTTGAGTTTGTGGGAAAGTAAGTGGCCTTAACAGAGGTCTAGTTTATGTTGTGCTTTCCTTAGTTCAATCTGTGTCAAATACTTCTCTGTTTCAGCAGGTGTCACTGAGCTGAACCCTCTGGTCACAGACTTAATAAGTCTCAAGGCTCTGACAGTAAATCCCTCACACAATACTTCATCAAGCCAGGAGCCAAGACTCCACAAGGATGTAGTCATCTTCCTTCACTGGGTGATTTATGAATTTGTAGCCTCGCACAGAAATTTCAACATTAGTGACAGCTATTCTGGAAAATAGATTTCTTTTTAAGTCTCAGTCTATGTGGAGAATTTGGGTTCACTGGCTGACTTGGTTTCTTTTACCTTCAACACCACAGTCAGCAGTTTCCAGTCATGTGCTAATACACAGTGAAGAAGAGAATAACAACAGCTATAGGTCAGAGCTTCTTCACCACGCAGTAATTTTGTTCTCAGTCATTTTAACATGGATATGTTGAACATTCATACATTTTTGTAACAATGTTCACTTTCAGGACTTTCAATGTACATTAATATTATTGCAGAGAATGAAGCAAAAACATTCACCTATTGGGTAATTATAAATGCTTAGCTTTGCCATAAAATACATTTTCTACTAACATAATGGCCTGAGGTTTGAAAAGTTATAGTGTAGTTCTGAGTAAAAAACAACTTTGATGATTTTTTTATTACTCAGCATAATAGGAAGGTTAAAATTGTCCTGCTGCTCATTTATAACCAAAACATTCAGTTGTATATGTATCAGTTTGCTCAGTTCAGGTTTGGCCGAATCTATTTTGTGAGTTTTATAGTTGCTACTCAAGAACCATACACAGCAAAGGCACCTGTATTATATTTTAAAAATAATATCTCTATCTATAAAATTTTCTATATTTGACATGTCATTTTTTCCCTTAATGTTGGTTTTGGTTTTGAAGAAAAGAATATTGCACTGTTCTGCTGTGTTCTTAATGACGGTGTTCTAGTCTGTTCTAAAAGACCAAAAGTGACCATAATAGGATCTCAAACATTCTAGAGCTGCCTTTATTATCAAAGATAAAGAAGTCGGTAACAAAAAGGACTGAACTTGTGACTCCTAGGAGACTGAATATTATCAGGGCTGTCAAACCATTAAAGTTTCTAACCGGAATATTCAGGTTGGATTTGTTGCTGGATGGATTTGGTTGTACACACTCAATGTTTGTTTGTCAAAAAGAGCAACTAAATGTCAAAACGTACAATGCATCTGTGGCTGGGAGAGCTCTGTGTTTGGATGTTAGAGACACAGCCTAAACCAGAACTGAACCTCTCTGCAGACATACATTTTTTTTCTCCCTTTCATTTGTCATTTCAGATCGGTACTACTGGGGTTCCAATCTGAACATTCCCACTATTGATTTCCATAAGGTCCTCCACGATGATAAGGCCATGCTGGACTGGCTTCTGGCTCTGCGTCGTGTCGGTGTCGTCTGCCTGAAGGGAGCTCCAGCAGAGTTGGGCCAAGTGGCCAGACTCTCTGAGAGGATTGGTTACCACAGGTTAACGTTCTACGGGTAAGACAGCATGACGTTCTCCCATTTCCCTCCAGGAAATCCTCAGCCAAGCCACTGTTTAATCATCTGACTCTGTGCTCAAATCCAAGCCGTCAAACTTTTCCACTGATGGTATTTTAGCTGGAGCAGAGCTCACGCAGCATTGTGGGACTGAAATCCAAATACAGACCTCTTTCCAGGGAATCAAACAGAGCAGCAAGATTCTCTGATTTAGGAGCTCCCCTTTTCACTCCAAATGTTTAGGAAAATGTGTTCACTGCTTAGTTTCCTGTTGCATTGATTCATAGTTCCTCTATGGAGGAGCAGAAAGAGTGAGCACTGGCCTTTTCATCTTCTCCAGAGTTCACCCCTCTGACTTATTGCACCGCTGATTACGAGAGGACAGAGATAAGAAAAAACAACCAGAAGCATTCCAGCTTTTTTTAAGCCAGAGGAATTACCTGGTGCACTCAGTCAGAACAGAGGTTTGGAGGTTAAAGCTTTTCCACTGCCAGTGGATGAGCTCATGCTGCTAGAAGTAAGAGGTGCAGAGTAGAGACTACAGGCCTGTTGTCAGAGGAACTAAACTGCTTTACCAGTCAGGCATCCAAACGAGGCATGCAAACAGAACATGGAAGATAACTTTACCTCATTAGTGCTCTGCTCCTGCTGCATCTCAATGAAGCATCTACTCCACTTTAGGAATTCCTGTGAAGCTCCTCTGCTCCCCCCTTAATTTCCCTCTGCTTGCCATTTCCTCACAAAAAGAAGTCCCACACAAAGTCTGTGTCATTCTTTTCAGTCACTCGGCCTAATTGTCACAGCTGATGAATATGGAGCTCATGCATGAATGCTATCTGTTTACAGGCACACATGGCAGGTGCAGGACAAGGACATGGCCAACAACTTAGCCTATACGTCAAAAAAGCTGAGCGTCCACACAGACTACCCTGCGCTCATGTTCCCACCAGGAGTATGTAAAGACACATTTTCCTCTGAAATGTGCAAGACTGGCATACAGCATTGTCACCTGCACTTTCTGACCTGTATTTATTTTGTTTCTTGCCCTTACGATGGGTATTAGGTACAGTTTGTACATTGTCTGTGTGCAGCGATGGAAGGAGGCGAGAGTCAGTTGGTGGACGGTTTCCACGTAACACAACAGCTGCAGAGAGAAGACCCCGAGGCTTTTCAGGCACTGACCTCACTTGTGATAAACTTCACTGACACAGGGTCGGACTACTGTGACTTCCATCTGAACAGCAGACACAACATCATCAGGTATAAGAGATGGATTCACATGTATTCACTGGTTGTGTTTTAATATGGCAGTTCAGACGGTGCAACCGATAAAACCGTTCAGAGGACAGCCCTACCGTGAGAAGGCTTCTTATGTGAAATAAAACACTGCCATCTGCTGGGCATAGTTATTTTTACACAGCCTCGTTTGGCTGTTTATTACAGTATGAGAAATGATTTTAAACTTCTTTTAGTTGAATTTGGTTGAAACTGTTGAATGTCTCGTTATAGGTCTTTGCAGATATTTCAAGCTTTAAAGATTAGAAAATGTATTCTGATGAATAATTAATGATGACCTATAATTAATTGATCAAAGTCAACACATACCTGGTTAAACACAATTAAAAAAAGTCTCCCATGGAGAAAAAAAACTAACTAGATTAAAATCATTTAGTCCTGTTGTATGTAGGAATACAAAACCTATTCCCTGAGCAGTTTAATAAAACTATGTAACACTGATTTTGTTGTTCTTTGTTTTTGAGCAGCACCGATAATGAGGGACAAGTTAACAGGATCAACTGGAACAATGCCACCAGAGATTCGGTGCTGGACCTTCCTCTGCATCAGGTTCAGCCTTTTTACAGAGCAGTGAAGGTCTTCACAGATATGATGGACAGACCTGAGAATGTGGTCCTCTACAGGATGGAGCCAGGTCAGTGTTCATGTATCAGAACTCTGCACATACTGTATGCTATAATTAAAAAAGAAAGCTGCAAGACTTGGATATAGTCCTGGCTCTCTGCAGCTCCACAGAAAAGGAGAGTTTAAACTTAACTGACCTGCCTTCAGTCCAGATCAGTCATCAGATAATAATATCAGCTTATTGTGAAGAGGACAATCAGACAACTTTAAAGATCTCTAATTTGATGAGAAACTAGTTGACAAGATAAAACATCGCCAAGATTTCCATCATAACTTTTCATCTGACCATAATGACACGCCAATGTAAGATTTTCTCCAGAAAATTTTATTTAAAAAATACTCAAATTTCTCTAATCTGATGAGAAACATGCAGACAACAAAACATCTTCCCAAAACGTTATCCTCATAATTTTGCACCCCCTGAACAAAAATGACAAGATCATTTTGGAATTTTCTAAAAAAATAAATTCTAAATAAATTCTCAAAATGTTTTAATTTGTTTAGAAACATAAAAGATAAAAAACTTATTTTTTTACAAAAGTTTTCATTTCATTTTTCAACTTTTGACCAACTGCTTTGGACAAAATACTGTCTATAAAATTTTTCAAAATGCTGTTATTTGATGAGAAATATGCAGAACAGATAACATTTTGAAATTAGTTTTTTCAAAAATTGTTCATGAAAGTTTTTTAAACTTTTGACCAACATGTGCAAAAATACGTTTTTGACAAAAAAAGGTTCTAAATATTTTTTCAAAATGCTCTAATTTCATAACAAAGCTGAAAAAATTTCAACTTTTATCCAACCTAATTTTGACAAAAAGTTCCAAAAAAATTCTGATTTTTTAAAAAAATGCATTAATTTAATGAGAAAGATACAGAACAACATTTTTGAATTTTGTTTTTAAATATTTTCATGAATATTTTCAACAGTTGTCATGTAAAAAAAGGATTTTGATAAAAAATTGATGTGAAAACATGCAGAAAACATAGTTTTGAAGTTTCTTTTTTCAAGATTTTTTTATGAAAATTGAACCAACATATCTGAAAACAGTATTTTGACAAGAAATTCCAAATAGAATTCTACTAAAAAAATGTCAAAATACTCTAATTTGATAAAAAGCATGCAGAAAACATAAACATAAAAGTTTGAAATTGAGTTTTTATGATATGCAAAATTAGTATTTTGCTAAAAAAGTGCTGTTATTTGATAAGAAACATTTATTTGAAATTACAAGTGTGCAGAGCACACTTACAATTATTTGAAAAAGTTTATGTAAATTTTCAACTTTTAACCAGCATATGCGAAAATATGATTTTGATAAAAAATTCCCCAAAAATGTTTTTCTGAATTTTCTTTTCAAAATACTTTGATTTGATAAGAAACATAAAGAAAACATAACATTTTTAATTTTCTTTTACAAAAATGTTCATGATTTTTTTCAACTTTTAACAAAGTTGTCATGTGAAAATAGGATTTTGATAAAAAATTCCAAAATATTTTTTTATAATTTCCAAATGCATTTGATTTTTAAAAAAATGTTATGAACATTATTCAACCTTTGAACAACATATCTGAAAATAAGATTTTGAGAAAAAATTCAAAAAAATGATCTCCTAAATTTTTTTTCCAAATACTCTAATTTTGTGAGTAACATACAGAAAACTGAAATTTGTTTTTTTCAAAACTTCATGAAAAATGTTTCAACTTTTAACAAGCTGGTCATGTGAAAAAAGGATTTTGAAAATCCCAAAAAAATGTTATCTAATAAAATTTTCAAAATATAAAGTAAAAAATACTTTTTGGACTTTTAA